CCAGCACAGGGTGGCTCTGTTCATTCCTATGGTTTACCTCATCAGGTAGATATTCCATATTCCTGTGTCTTCTCCTTCCTGGAGTCTCTACAGAAGGTTAGGTTTCGCCCTCACAGCATCGTGCATCATCCTTTCAGGGACTAACTACAGGGATCTTGACCCTGCCACACATTGCCTAGCTTTCCTTTGAAATTTGAGTGGAAGCTATAACTCCATGATTGTTATAACTCTTGATGATGCTATAACTCTTTCATTCTGCATAGACAACACCAAGGCCTGCCATCAGCTTGAGCAGACTTTCTTGGACCCATGGCTACCACAGCTTCTCAATGCCTGGACAGATGCACACAGTGAAACGAAACAACTTCATAAGTATCCCTGTGTGAGCAGAGCACCCCCAAGGTCCTCTGTTCAAGGGAAATTCTTTCAAATGAGCGTGCTCTGTCACACCTCTTGAGCCCATTTTGGGTGAGATCTGACCACCTGATATGTATTCCTGATAAACCCTCAGGAGTATACTCTATTGTCCCAATGCAAAATATTCTGTTTCTGTTTAGTGGGGTTAATCTCTTCTGAAATCATGCCTTCCTTAGCCTCAACTTTAAGCTGTGTTTCTGACTAAACTGCAAGCTTTTTTTTTTTTCTCATCTTTCTGTGCTGCATTTCGCTGTCAAGATCCACTGTAAATTTGATGGAAAGCAGTTAGCGATAGCCATGCCACAGTCTGAATGATAGACTGCCATGAATTTTCCTCAGCCATATTGGTTAATATGTTACCTTTAAACTCTGCTTCCCACAGTGTCTCAGGACACAGACAAAATGTGGCCAAGTTCTTGTCAGCCCATAACATGAATGGCCTCTAATACAGTTTCCAGTAGAGTCTCCATTTCCACCTGGATCCTCATGAGGTAAGCCTTTTCTGTCCATATTGCTTTCACTCTGGTGTTTCATGTTCCCATTGGAATTTCCCACTGAGCCCTGCTTACAGTGTTCTAGGGCTTTACCACTTCTCCAAACTTGGTCAGGTAGCCCCAGCAACATTCCACTTCTCAGGTACCAATTTTCTGTGTTCCTAAGATTTTTCATTGTTGCATCAAATTACCTGAATTAAAAAAAGTAAAAAACACAAGGCATCAATGTTTATTTTGGCTCACAGTTACAGCACTTTCAGCCCATCATGCTGGAGAAAGCATGGCAGAACAGCTCATCTAACACAGGGCTCTCAACTGCAAGCCTCAGACACTGTACCCTGAACTCCTTGGGATTTCTGCTTAAATCCAGGATGCCCAGTGTTACATGACACTGGGCTGGGCTGAGTCTCTGGGCAACATCTGGATCTGCTTGGCATCCCTGTAGTGGAAGGAGTGAAAGGGTATTAGGAAGACGGGACCACCCCAGGTTGGCCTGTGGTACAGCCCAGCTGGGACAGAGCTGGGGCAGAGCTAGGGTAGAGGAACATTTGAAAGCAAGGCCCTTCATGACAGCATGAGGGATAGTGACAATCCAGCCATCCCAACAGGAGTTAAAGGACAACTGTCATCATGTCCTGGACAGAAGTGGGCCATGTTGTGGACAGACTCCACAGAAATATCCCAGGGAAAAGCAGCTAACCAGAGCCTGTGCCTGGGAGATAACACATTCATATCATGTTATTAAGATAGCCAAGACACATGTACAGGTGAAGGTCATGTCTACTGCTGCTGTTTGCAATTCTAACATGTGGTCCCACCCTCTTGGCCAGCAGAGTCGGGATGTCCCTGGCAAGTGGGGCTACAGTCAGCCATAGAGATCATCTTTAGCACTGAACATCTGGAGGCCACTGCCAGCAGGCTCAGCACCCTGCTCCAGGCAGACCTTTGGGGTTCTGGCTGTAGCTGTGCAGGCTCGCCTTCCTCTAAGCTCAGGCATCAGGCCTTACTGAGAGAGGCACTGATGTTCTGCCCTGCTTCTTCCCTCCTCCCAAAGGGTCTACATCTGGATTCCCTCATCTAAATCAGTTCCTCTTCCCTAATTTGGCTCTTTGGGGTTTCCTGGGCTGTATCAGAGCAGGTCCCTGACAAATGTGAGTGCAAGAGAAGCAGCTGCCTCTAGCCAGCAGGGCATTATAGGCTGGGGTCACCAGACCTCTGACAAATGTGAGTGCAAGAGAAGAAGCAGCTGCCTCTAGCCAGCAGGGCATTATAGGCTGGGGTCACCAGACCTGGGACTACCTGACAGTTCCACTGGACCTCAGCTCCCAGTTCTGGCAGGTTAAGTCAGGAGTATATTTGTTTGCAAATGACAGAAGTGACTTCAGTGTGGTCAAGTAAGGATGAGAATTTATTGAGTTTGCTGCAACAGCATAACACAGGTAGGTAATTTACAAACAATAGATCTTTGTTGGTTTATCTTCTGGAGGCTAGGAAATCGGTCCACAACTGAGGGGCTGACTCTGGACTGGGTCTTTCTGCTGTATTTATCCCACAACAGAAGACATCCGTGCTGGATAGCTTTAGTTTTCAACTTGACAAACCTGGGTAGGAAAGCCTCAGTTGGGGAATTTCCTCCACTGGACTGGCCTGCAGTCATGTCTGTGGGATATTTTCTTGATTTTTGAGTGATGTGGGAGGACCCAGCCCACTGTGGGCAGTGCCATCCCTGGGCAGGTGGTCCTGTATTATATAAGAAAGCAGACTGAGCATGGGTCAGGGGAGCAAGCCAGTAAGCAGACTAGAACAACATCATACACCAAGAGAATATGAAAGTGCAAACTCAAAGCATCATGTACATTTCTAATTAACATTATTAGGTCTTCTTGCCACCCTCATGATCTAATCAACTCTCAAGGGTCTCACCTCTTAACACTGTTGGACTGAGAATTATGTTTACAACATTGGCTTTTTGAGGGGCATGTTTAAACCATAGAACTGCAACACTGAAAAGTCTAGAGACAGAGCCTGGCAAAAGCCAGGTGCTCTGAGGATGTGTAGCTGTCTCCACTCTGCTATCCAGTTGGCTCTGGATCACTGCACTCTCAGACAAGCTTACCTTACCCCACCCTAAAGCTGATGAAAAGATCTGCAGCACGCCCAGGCTATCCTCCACACAGATGTACCAAGAGGACTTGCTTTTCTGCCCATTTCCTCAATGTCCCTGAACAGGTTGTCAAACCCTCAGCATGGACCAAATACCATCCTTGAACCAATGCTAGGGCCAGGTGGGCCTAGTGGCCATCAGGTCAGATTCAGGCCATCATGCTCCCAAAGAACTCATGGGGGGCTGGTCCCCAAAGCAGAGGGGATGCTAGGCAGATGGCTGCTGCAGGTGCCTCCACAGGACTCGTGGTATTCACCAATACCAGTCCTCACGGTGGAGATGTGAATTCACAAGAACAACAGAGGACAGATCTAGACTGTGCTAGGACCTAGCCCAAGGCCTGATGACACTGTTCTGTCTCCATCTCAGTTACAGACAGTGGAGGCTATTCTATTCACCAAACTCAAGCTCAAATCCTCAGACCTGGGACTTCTGCACATGCCTGCTTCTCCCTCCCTTCTCCAGTCTGTTGAGTTCATTTGCCAACCTGCCTTGGCTCTGAACTGATGTGTGCACCAGGATCAGCCCCTCCCTGTAGCCCACTTGGAACTGTCCTACTTCCAGTGTGACCAGTAGCATAGTGTCTGTTTCCCCATCACTTTGTAAGTGCCAGGAGGGCACAAGTTGGGTTCGTTTCATTCATCAAGTCCCTAGCACACAGACAGGCATACTATGCAGGTTTGGGAATGAATGAATGAATTTAATGAATGAATGTTTACACGTAGTAGAGGGTAAGGAGCAAAAGCAGCAGCTAATGGATCAACTTTGCTATTTCTGAGCAGCAAGATTCAGCCAAATCTTTTCCTTTACTGACATAGAGCTTCAATCTCAAGAACTCAGTGGGTACAACAAACTCCTCAGTGCCCGGGCCTTGCGAGCAAAGCCAGGAAAATGCTGTACACAAGACTTGGGCTTTTTTTTTTTTTTCATGAGTGGAGAAGATCTGTTTAGAAAGTCAAGATTTTTTTTTTAAGTTAAAAAAAACAACCCCCCCCCCAAAAACACCAGATGGCTTCAAAGTGAGCAAATATTGGGCCAGTTCTCGTGACCTTCGTCAGGGGATGAGGGGCTGGAGAGCAGTGGGGAGGAGAGGACAGCCGGGAACCAGCGGGGGGGGGGGCGGGGGCAGCCTCGGTGACTCACCAAGGGATCGAACTGAGGCTCCAGGCTACACTGGGCGGTGGAACCCCGGGCTCTTGAGCTGGCTCAGTGCTGGCCAGACAGGTCCGCCAGCACAGCTCCATCACCGGGTGGCTTCCGGGGGAATCTCCGAGTTCCAGGGGTACAGGGCATCCCAGGTTCGAGTTCTGCCACGTCTTGGTCACGATCTTTTCCATCTCCAAGGAGCTCTGGTTTTCTCCTTTCTCCGGCAAGCCCAGCTCTGTCCTCGTAGGGTAGCAGCCAAGTTTACAAGTCTAGTGTGTGTTGCTTTTTCCGCCTTTTTTTTTTTTTTTTTTTTTTTTTGCTCTGAAAAGAGTCTGGCACCGGGGTACATTCCAAGAACAGGGGCCCACTGTTAGGTTTTCGTGTGTGCACGTGAGTGTGTGCACGTGTGTTGTGCGCGCGCGCCTGACATTATGATCTATTCCTTACACAGACTGCCTTTAACTCGACCAAGACCTGAGAGGTACGTTCTTTTGTTATCCCCATTTTACAGATGAAGAAACTGAGGCACAGAGCCATCAGGCCCCTGGCTGGGGTTCCACGTCCAATCTGTTTGAATTAGGTTGTTTGCCGCCGCTCAGCCCCCGCGCCTTCAGCTCATTTGGGACAGACGCTTGGGCGCAGCCCCTCACCCCTTTCCGTGACTCTTGGGGGCCCTGTCCCCGCCGTTGTCACGACAACCTGGGACCAATGGGGAGCAGGCAGGCGGGAGGAGGCCCCGCCCCAGCCCCACCCCTCTCGGAAGACTAGAGGCTATAAGGGCCGGAGGTGGAGCGGCGGGAGCCAGAGCCCGGGAGCGCAGGGCGCACAGCCAGTTCTCGGAGTGTCCGGAGCGATCGGGAGCCACGATGTGCGGTGAGTGCGCGGCCGCCTCCTTCCGAGCCTCTTGGGGCCTGGATCAGCAGCCAGGCGCAGGGGGCCTGCTGGGGGCGCCGATCTTGGGCTTTCCTTAGCCAGGCCTACCTACCCCGCGCCCGGCCCCCGAGTGGCGTCTTGGGGACAAGGGGGGCGGGGGATGGTGTCCAAACTCCGTCTCCGACGGAGAGACGTTGGTGAGAAGAGCCGAGCCGGGACCCGCTCAGAGGGGAGGAAATGGGGAGTCCCGGGCTTGGAGCCCCCGCAGCACAGAGGTGTCTCCAGATCTGTGTCCCGGGAGGGCGCTTTCCTCCCCTTGGCCCACAAAGGCCGCCACGCGCAAGCTGGAGCATCGTGGGCGCGACGTGGTCGTCCCCAGCCTGCCGCGCCCACCCGGGAGAAGCGACCTCACCTGCGCGGTGTGGGCAGCCCAGCCCTGGGCATCCCCCAGCAGCTCCGGATGCGCTGGGAAGAGCCGGTGCGTCCTGCTTACGACCCTAAATGACCTCCTGTCCCTAGCAGGGTGGGTTCGGTGGCGAAGCATTGCTGGAAAGAGCTCTGGGCGAGGCGCCGGGGAGAAGCAAGAGAAGGGGTCGAGGACAGGGATAGCGGCGCAGCTCCAGGCGACGCTGAGGTGTCCGGTGGGGCTTGGGGTGCAGAAGGGAGGGCAGCCGCTCTGGGCGCACATCTGTAATTCCTTACTCTCCTGGCTGGTTGGGCCGCCTCCGCTGGCTGGCCCGGGAGAGCCAGGAACTTATGCTGGGACAAAAGGTCACTGTGCTCCCCCCCCCACCCCTCTTGAGTAGGATTCAGTTACCCATTCCAGCCCCCTGTGGCTGGAGAACCTGGTGGAACTTTTGAAGCCATGAAAGGCGCCACTCTGAGTTTGCTGAGGGCTTGCGGGGAGGGGTGTGCCAGTGGGTGAGTCCAGAGCCAAGGTCTGTAGAGGCCTTGTTTCATGAGCCAGCCAGCGGATCAGGGAAGAGGACCGACTGACCAAGGAACAGGCAGGCGCCTTTGAGATGCAGCTTCATTCATAGGGAGCAGGCCAGTTGGTTTAAATTCCTGAACACAGAGCCAGAGTCTCAGGACCCCCGGGTACCCTCCACAGAGTAAGGTTGCCTTGGGGCATTACCCGAGACAAAAATGAGAGTGGTGGTAGTTTTACCAGATCCCAAAGTCCCTCAGGGTCAAGACTTGTAAGTGTAGCATTCAAGGTCTTCTGGTGGCCTTAGAGCCAGGCTTGTGCAAGAAACCTCGAACCAGTGAGGCTTCTCGGTTGGTTGCTCACCACATCCAGCCTGTCGCCCTGCTTCCTACTTGGATCCTGCAGCATTCAAGGTCTTCTGGTGGCCTTAGAGCCAGGCTTGTGCAAGAAACGAACCAGTGAGGCTTCTCCGTTGGTTGCTCACCACATCCAGCCTGTCGCCCTGCTTCCTACTTGGATCCTGCTACCTCCTTTGTCTGACCAAGCTTTGGAGGACTATCTCCTCCAACTCTCACAATCACAGGGGTTTTGTTTGGCTTTCTTAAAGAACCACACACGTATTATGGCTTTGGGAGAGGTTGAGTTTTGAGTTATAACCAATCTGTATCCACTGAAGTCTTTGATACTGATTTGTGACTGGGTCTGAAAAGTTCCTTGAAACCACCAAAAGGAGATCTAGGCTCAGCATAATCTTGACTTGTGGGGTGCCCATTTAGAGCCAGAATCAAAGAGGATGTGCTAGACCAGGGGGGCTCTCGGAGTCTGCTTTCTTAGGGGGGGGTGATCCTTGCTAATACCCCTTCCAGCCCCCAGTCTTCAGTTGTGGGTCCTAAACATTCTGGCTAAAGAAAACCGTTTCCTTTTCAAGTAGATCAGCAAAAAGTCTCAGCTTAGTGCTAATGTGTCTTACTTAACACTTACCAAGCACCCTTTGCACACAGATAGCTGTCTGAGGTTCAGAACTGGTGGGGGCAGGTTGCCTGGGTTGTCTGGGACTATGGCCTGTGTATGTATAGGCAGGATACTGGTTTTCCTTTACTGGTTGTTCGCGTTTGTAGTTTAGTCCATTTTACAGGAAAATAATACCGGTTGTACTTTTGGCAAAAGGATATTACAAATATTGTATCATTTCATTTTGCATTAGGGGAAACTGAGGCCCAGAGAGCTCTGTACACACCTGTATCTGAGCAGGAATTATTTTAGGTCCTTTCCTTGGCCTGCACCTCCTACTGTCATTCAAAGCAGATTGGGGATCAAGGCCAAACGCTGGTAACCATGTTCAGAGGATGTCTTCTGTCACAGAGAGCTGGGTCCCAACAGGAGCCCACCCTCCAACTGCACAGATGCTCCACAAAAACTTCCAATACACTGAGAGTTTAGCTAAAGCAACCCTTGGGCACTGCCTCAGGTCCTGTTGCTGTAGTAAAATATCCTGAGGAAAACAACTTAAGGGTGAAAAAGTTTATTTGGTTAACAATTCCAGGTTACAGTCTGACACTGTGGGGAGGCCAAGGGGCAGGAACTTGAAGCAGCTGGTCACATTTGCAGTCAAGAGCAGAGAGAAGGAATTAATGCATGCAGGCCAGGCCTTGGCTTCCTGTCTCCTCTTCATTCAGGCCAGGATCCAGCCCATGTTCAGGGTGCCACCATATTCAGCATGCACCCCTCGATACACTCAAGCACCCTGTCCCCAGCACTCTCAGACTCAGACCCACCATTGGCAGAAAGTGAGTACAGGATCAGTCAAGTCACCTCAGTTAACTCAAGTAAGAAGATCCATCACAGGCGTGCCCACACACCAACGCAATCTAGGCAGTTCATTGAGACTCCTGTCCAGGTGATTCTAGATTGTGTCAGGTTGGCTGTTGAACCATCACAGGTACGTACATGGAGAGTTGCTGCCAGTAGGAAGGTTATGATTTCTTTCTCTCCATTCTTCCCTTCTTTCGTTTTTCTTGCAACCAGTATGAGTGATCGCTTGTGGAGAGGCTTTGCTTTCTAGGCTCTGAAGTTCTGAAGGCCTTGTGGATGTGGTCCACTCCATCTCTCAGAAGGGGCAGGTAAGGTGGAGGGCCACCGTGGAGGCCAGTCATGACTAGAAACAGGATAATCCAGCTGGCACATGCTGACACAGAGAGGAGACTTTGGGCACAGGGTACAGCCTGGCAGTGTCTGGCTGGGCCAGGCAGACAGACAGCTTTCTGTTCAGGGCACAGGGTTTAACTGTTTTTTAAAAAACCAGTTACCAGATTACAAAATTAGGAGTTTTCATGTAAGTAAGTTTAAAAAAAAATTCCCCTTGGAAAGCACGCGAAGATCAACAACCTGGAGTTTGTATTTCTAAATAGCACCCTGGTGGCCCCTTGGCCGATGGGTACCAGCTGACCCTCCTGTCTCACTCACCAGTGCTACCTGTTTTCACCTGGCAGTTTGGGACCCCAGCACAGCACAAAGAAACAGAGATGACTTTCCCCAGAGGAAAGAAGGTGTGAGCTCTGCAGACACAGTGGTTTACAGGAACACCAGGCTGGGACACATAGCATCACTACAGTCTCTGCTCTGTGGCCACATGGCCCACATCTGTATCCAGGATAATCTCTCACCTCAAGATCCTTAATTGATGATCTTATTTATAAAGACTTTTTCTCATAAAAGGTAAATTTCACAGACTCTAGGGATTAGAGACTGATACTTTAGAGAGCTGTTAGTATCCCACTGCAGTTGGATCGTTGCTTTCTCCAGAACTGTCCAAATGTTCGGAATCCTGGATGTTCAAGTCTTGGCCCTGAGGACCCAATCCAGAGGTCCATAAGCATGCACCCCAATATACCCAAACACCCTGGTCCCTGCACTCTCAGGCTAGATCTAACACTATCAGAAGGCGAGTACAGGATCATTTAAGCACCTCTGTGTTCACTGGCATAGTACCACATACCTAGTTGGACCAAAAGAATTTCCTCTTTAATTTAAAAGTTAGCTTTATAATGTGTCATATAATGTGTGTTCTTTCCTTTATCTTACCTTCCATGTGGCACATTCTCCCTATTCATCGTGCCCCTGGGAGAAGCAGCTATGGGTTTTATTTACCCAGATAACAGGGTCAGGGCTGTACACACACACACGCACACACACACACACACACACACACTACACTTGCAATTGATCAGCTTAGGGAGTGGCTATCCAAGGGGATTAGACCACTTAGCACAAGGCTTATCTTTCCCTCTGTTTCTTTCAGCTCTCAAAGCGTTATCAGCTATGACACCCTTTCTTCCTTATAACATTTCGTTTCACGTCTGGATTCTTCAAAAAGAAGCAGTGTCTCTTGTGAGGATTGGATGGAGTTGATGAGGGCATGGACCCTGGGATTAGTTACTTGGCTTGATGGCTCTCCAAACCTACCCCTACCCAGCAATGTAATGGTATATACTGACCATCAGGCTTTCTGGTTTGCCAGTTTAAATAAAAATTCTGTGTATGTTGGGAGAGGGTACGTGCATGAGTGCAGGTGGTCACGGAGATCAGAGGAGGGCATCGGATTCCTGGGAGCTAGAGTTAAGGGGCAGTTGTGAGCCAGCCACCTGACCTGGGTGTTGGGAACAGAACTTAGGTCATCTGTAAGAGCAGTGAGTGCTCTTAACCCTGAGTCATTTCTCCAGCCCCCTGGTTGTCAGTCTCTCTGGCTCACTGTGGCTGGTTTCAGATGAGGCTCATGGGAAGTCCCTGAATGAGTAGTTAGGACAAGAAAGCCAGCACACAGTTGGTTCCTACAGCTATCAGATGCAACTACAGTGTGTGAATATACAGACTTTTAGACTGATGTTGGCACTCTCAGGTAGAGCAGTTTTGGGAACCAAGTCCTTTGGAAGAGCCATCTCTCTACCCCTCAGGTAGAGCTGAATTTCAAGAGTCTTCACAGAGCAGGACTCCCTCGGTGGGTCAGTCTTCTTTACTCAGGCCTTCCCAGATCAGAGAAACACGGAAATTGCATGTTATAGCATTAGTAAACTTC